GAGAGGGAGGAACAAGAGAGAGGGAGGAACAAAAGAGAAAGAGAGAGAGAAAGAGCCGCGAAAGAGAAAAAAGGAGGGAGAGAGAAAAAAAGAAAAACAACGTTTGGATTCTCGACCAGCGCCTCTTCACAGTTATAAAGAAAATGTGAACAAAAGGGTGAAAAGCTGTAAGAAAATAAATCTTCACAGTTTTGGAAATAAAAAGTTGTACACAAATAAAGTAAATGAATCATACAAATATCACGAAGGAAGAAAGAGAGAGGGTAAGAGGATAGAAGGAAGAGAGGGAAAAGGAGAAAGGGTGAAAGGATAAAACGAAAAAATGGAGGAAGAGAGAAAAGCACGGAGAGAAGGAGAAAGAGGGAAATTGAGATATAAGGAAGTAAGGAAGAAGGAGAGAGGATGGAAAGAGACGAAAAGAGGGATGAGGGGAGAAAACGAGGATAGAAAATGGAGACGTAGAGAAAAGGAGAAAGAGAGAGAGAGAGAGAGAGAGAGTACAATATGAGATAGAAATATTAAGAACAAATCAATAGAAAATAATAAAAATACTGCAAGACTAGCATACATATAAACATTAAACAAACAAATGACTTCTTATTCCTTATACTATCTTATGACATTTCCTGAGTTAATTAAGGCACTTTATAAAAGATCAATAACTAAAGACTAGATACTTTCATTAAATGAAAAGGAAACAAAACATTATTCTTTGGTAAATAACTGAAATAAAGCTTGGTAAAAATATAAGAGTACAATAGGAATGGCACTTACTTATATCACATAATTTCAAGTTATATATCACGTAAAAGACACAACTTTGTTATTAACATATGCTCTAACATCTGAACAATACATTATTAATAGTATAAATAGTTGATTTACAGTGTGGCTGGCCCTGCCAGCCCTTGGACGCCGAGACCCTGTTAATACATTAAATCAAATAAATTCTTGATCTAAATTCTATATATAAATATCAGACAGGAATCCTTGATTCCTTTACAATCATTATTATCATTATCAATCATTATCATCATCAATCATTATCATTATCAATCATTATCATCATCAATCATTATCATTATCAATCATTATCATCATCAATCATTATCATTATCAATCATTATCATCATCAATCATTATCATTATCAATCATTATCATCATCAATCATTATAATTGCCATGCACTTCGTTTTCTTTTTCTTCGTCAATCTTTATTTTTCCTCTTTTTCTTTGCCTCCTTCGTCTTGGCAGGTTTCTTGGCCGACTTGTCAGGTTTCTTGGCCGACTTGGCAGGTTCTCTTGGCAGGTTTGGCAGGTTCCTTGGCCGACTTGCAGGTTTCTTGGCCGACTTGGCAGGTTCTTGGTGGCAGGTCCTTGGCAGGTTCCTTGGTCGTCTTGGCAGGTTCCTTCGTCTTGCAGGTTCCTTGGTCGTCTTGGCAGGTTCCTTGGTCGTCTTGGCAGGTTCCTTGGTCGTCTTGGCAGGTTCCTTGGCCGACTTGGCAGCTTTTTTGGT